ATACATGCGCACACGCGCATACAAACAATCGCCCGTATGTGCGTTCGGATAGCAGATCAGATGGGAGCCCTAATTCGAGTCATATTTTTCTCGGTTTTACAATCCTAATCTGAATGCCTACCAAGCAAACCTGCATTTTTACTTTCCAGCGAATGCACTACTTGTGGCCTTGGTGAGTAGGCGTTGAGGTTGTCGGTCAAATGTAGACAAAGTGTCGTCTCGCGACTCACCTGGACGGGGTAGAAGCGACCAAAGTAGAAGGGGAAGTTGAGAGCCTCTTCCACCACGGCCTTTTTCAGATGATTCGGTTTGTCCACCGCTTCTCGTGCCGTCTCGTAGGCATGACCATCACCTAGAGAGCAGATACAAAATGTGAATGTGCGTGTGTGTGTGTGTGAGAAAGAGAGAGAGAGAGATAAAGGGAGCGAGGGGAAGAGAGAAAGATAACTGGTAGAGGGAAGAGAGAGTATGAAGAGACAAGGCCGCTGCTCGAGTCCGTTTGGGAGTCGAGTGAGCGACGGCCAAATGACGTCAGGTGGGACGTGAGCTCGAGGCCCGCTCGCGTTTGGAGCTGACGTGAAGACTTGAACTCAAGAACCATTTGCTTTAGGGACGGTTTCCCTTTGAGCATGTCCACTTGGGACCGGCTGCAAATGTGGCCTGTTGGGTTGGCAAGTGTGAAGGACTCAGAAAGAGGAGGAAGAGGAGGAGAGAGGATATGAGGCTGGTGATCCCGAGAATGGGGGAGGAGAGGAGCTGTTGAGCCTCAGACACTCACCAAGCAGACGATGCAGCCTGTCCCGATCGGTCGGTCGGAGACGGACGGTGCTGCCCTCGCGGAGGTCGCTGATGATCTGGCAGAAGATGAGATCCAGTTGGATCTGATCCGTCAGCTTCTCTTTGGGCCGGATCAACTGTCAGGAGGGAGGAAAGAGAAAGGGTGAGAGAAATAGAGAGATGAGGGCAAGTTAAAAGGAGAAAGAGAGTGAGAGCGAGAGAAAGCAGGTGAGCATTTAAAGAGGTTGCGAAGTGAGGAGAGACCTCTTTTCGGATGCGGAAGGTCCAGAGTGGCGCCGTGTAGGTGTAGTAGCACATGTCTTGAGGAGGGGCAATGAGGGTGGTGAGGCCGGTGAACTGGGCGCCTCTGGGCTTGAGGCGCATTCGAACACCGGCGAGGTTGTTGGGAGAGGAGGGGCTGCGGCTTCCGGTTGGCGACGTCAAGGCGACAGGCTGTCCGAAGGTGATGCTGGAGGGGACGGGAGAGGCGAGCAGGGAGGTGTCCGAGAGGCAGGAAAGACCGGCCAGATCGGGCAGAGGCAAGTAGCCGAAGCGTCCGACAAAGACCGGACACGAGGGCTTGGGAGGAAAGAAACAACGCGAAAGAAAAGGAAAGAGTTGAAGAGAGGTGAAATGAGGGCATATGAGATTAGCTGGTGCAAGTTGAGATGAGGTGAAATGAGGTGAGGTGAGATGAGATGAGATGAGATGAGATGAGATGAGATGAGATGAGATGAGATGAGA